GGGTCCTCGTGGTTGACAGGGTTTGAATATTTCGTCCATCTACGGTAGTACTGCAAAGTGTCACTCTTGAGAGTTGGATGTCCAACAAGATCACCAAGATTGTAGAACTGTACGGAATAAGAATCCGCACATGTCACAACTGCAAAGATACAAAGAACACTCTCTATTGGCCAGTCTACTCAGACTTGGCACAAGTCTCTAAACAGACAACCCGCTGCATGGCAAGAGTGCACCGCAACAAGACGAGGAGCTTCGCCGGTATCTGTGTGTCCAAACAAAAACGATTTCCACATGTGTCGGAGCTGGAATCCTTGTCCCTTCGTTGGGCCGAACTTGTATATTCAAGAGCTGTTGAACGTGTGTGTGTGTGTGTGCAGGTATCTTCATCTTAGATGCACTTCCAATCGAACATCAGTGACCCCCACACCCCACCCACATCTATATATATATACATCGATGACAATGTTGCGCAATCAATGATCCTGTTACCCAATCCATGACTGTCTTCTGAAACCGATGACAACAGAAACCACCAAAATCAGAGTTATCGCAGTTTCCCTCACGTTGCTATTGGCACTGTTCGCGCAAACAAACATCTTCAAAAAAATCCTTACTCTACTCAAGAAATGTTGTCATCTCGAATCAACACAAGGAGAACGATGCAATTGGAGCCTTCCACGCCCTTCTCTTAGCCAAAACGCATTTCAAAAGAAGCCTTCTTCAAGTTGGACCAGATTGCACTCGGAAGCTCTTCCCAAGCATTACTGGGGATCTGGTCGCAATAAGACAGATCTAGGTCCTGCGTCTGCAAGGTAACTGCATGTTGGAACAACATGTGCAGTTGAGTGCAGTGGATGCTCCTCCAGACTGGTGCTCTGGGCCAAAGTCTTCAGAAGATGCTTCGCTCCCTCAGCACCCTTCGTGTTGACATTGAAGCACCTCAAAAACACGGAGATGCATTGAACTAGTTGATGGGAATCGGTAAAGTGCGCACAACAAGTTCAGCAAGTCGAGCCCCATCTCAGCGTGATGTTCAATTATGCTTCCCAAGAATTCACACTTCTAAGAGATGTAGACACATGCTTTGTTGTGTCCTTTCTTTTGGCGTGCGTCTCTTCACAAACAAACACATCCAAAAAATAATCTTACTACACTCCCTGAAACCAACATGGAAGTGGAGAATGGCCCCTTGGAAGACCATTTTCCACTACAAACAGGTGGTTGTCCACGTCCATGTTAGTTCCAGGGAGGGTAAGTAGTTTGGACACCTGGAATCAACAAGGAGAACGATGCAACTGGAGCCTTCTACGCCCTTCTCTTGGCCAAGACTCTGCTGAAAAAATGCCTTCTTCAAGTTGGACCAGTTTGCAGTCTGAAGCACTTCCCAAGCATCACTGGGGATTTCATGGCACGAAGACAGATTAAGGTCCTGCGTCCGCACAGGCAACTGCATTTTGGACGAAATGCGCAGTCGGGTGCAGTGGATGCTCCTCCAGAGCGGCGCTCTGGGCCAACGCCTTCAAAAGATGCTTCGCTCCCTCAGCACCCTTCGTGTTGTCATAGAAGCACCTCAACGACACGGAGGTGCAGTGAACCAGTTGATGACCATTAGTTGATGTGGTGTGTGTGTCCAAGAGGTTCGGAAGCATAGTGTTGAAGACGCTCACACTTGTAAAACATGTTGAATATGAGTATGAGTCTGAGTCATGTTGTTTCCTTTCTTTGGGCGTGCTCCAAGTCACAAACAAACCCCCCCCAAAAGAAGGTCCTTACTGAAGTATTTTCGACATCTGGAAAAAACAGAAGAAGAATGATGCAACTGGAGCCTTCCACGCCCTTCTCTTGGCCAAGACGCTGTTCAAAAGAAGCCTTCTTCAAGTTGGACCAGTTTGCAGTCTCAAGCACTTCCCAAGCATCAGTGGGGATCTCATGGCAAAAAGACAAATCTAGGTCCTGCAGCGGCTTGTGCACAGCAAAATAGGGGCAGCGACAGCGCACCATGTGTGCATACAGTTTGCCCAACTCATTCATGAAGTTCCAAGCTCCTCTGGGTTTTGATTTGACAGGGAGATCAGGACCTGTCGTGTGCCATGGTTCCCAATCTTGCTGAAGAAGGTGGATCCAAGTTTCAGCTTGGACGCGGCCCAAGCGTCGCTGCTTACCAAATGCTCAGCGCCGCCATCCAAGCTCAAAATGCAATCATGCGTGAGAGCCATCAGAACCGCCAAAGGTACCTGTTCAGAAACGTCGCTAGAATGGTCTGAATGAAAGGTTCGCTAGCAAAGCGCCTCGTCTGTGCAAGCAAGAGCAGTCTTGACTGCAGAATACGTGACGCGACCTGGGTCCAGTGGCTGAAATTCTGCAAAACAGTAGACATGGCAAAAGGCCAAAACGGCGGAAGAACAAACAAAACGTGAAACCAACTGCAAACAGCACTTGGAAGATCGAAGAACTCTTCCTGCCTTCCAAAGATGCCAAGCGGTGGAAACTCGTATGTTTCACCTGGAGGCGAGAATGCTCATATATGCTCATGGATGCTAATGGGTCGCAGGTCAACGAGCACAAGCAGGCCTCCTCGCCCAATCGTGCAACCAGCCCCAGACCCATCCAGCTCACTGCGGACAATCCCAGCCAGGCTGCAAGGAGCCAGTCGGGGATGGCCTGGTCAATGTGGGGAAGCTGTATAAACAATATGGTATCAATGTTCAATACGTAATACTTAATTGGATTTAATTGGCAATTTGGCACCAGGGTGCCAAAATAAGTCTACTATGACTAACTTTTAGTGTCTCAACTTGCAAAGCTTCAATGCCACGTATTGACCACGGCGCAAAAAATAAAGGCTACAGAAGCCCACTGGTGAAGGAACAAATACCAAAATGCCAGGGTTTCTGGGTCTTCTTTTTAGCCACCTCACGCCACATCCACGAAAGCCCAGCGGATCGAGCCCTGCATGCCTTGGCATGCTCGCTGGCTGAAGCGTACCGTGCAAAGGCTTGAGATGCGACGACAGCTGTCACAGACAACATCTTGATCTTCATGGTACTTTGGAGTGGAAACAACGATGTCGGCTCCAGCAGCTGACCTGGGTGGGCAATCACCGCGGCCAGGACATCTGCCACGCTCGCCTTCCGAAGAAGGCATTTGGCCATCATGGCCAGCCCCATGGTCAGAATGGGGCCTCCTAGTGCAAATCCCTGCCATCTCGCCGAAACATGAAAGAAATTGATAGCAAACACCTGGCAGATGACTTCGGCTGACCTCAGCATCACGATCGCAAGTACCAGAAGAGGCTCCTGATCCTTTTTCAGTTTGCCAGGTACCCCGAGCACCCGTGATGTGCTTGTGTCGCGCGACGCGAAGCCAAGTCCAAGCATACAGCAAGACATAGTGATGGAAGCGCACAACCATGTGAGGTCTTTTGCATCGAGTTGCAAAGCTGCAAAGTCCTTCAGAGAAGACATCCAACTGGGCGAAGAAAACACGCCAATACATGTCATGTGCTTCGGCTGTTATTGGCATCTCAACCCACATCGAACGAAAACCCGGCTCCTTAACTCCGACCATGGTGCAGATCAGAAAGTTGCATTGCACCAAAGCAGAAGTGGCTGATTCTGCGACCTGAATGCAGGAACAGAGTCCAGCCACGCTATGTGTAGAGTCTGGTGGACTCTGCTGGTCCTTTTTGTTCCGTTTTTGTCATTCGTCGTGCATGGAACGTGACGCCTCAGCAAATTTGGTAGCTCCAAGCAATGGGTGTTTCAAGCGGTGCTTGGCAGACCAAATCGTTAGCCACAGCATCTGCAGTTGTAGAAGGACTGCGCACATGGTGGAAGCCTGCAACCACCGCAAAGGAACGCCTACAGCAAGGCCAACAGCTTGCAAAGCATCCAAATCGGGAGACTCATGGGCATGGAATGCCCAAATGTCCTTAGTAAGACACTTCCTGCATCTGATGCGCGCACACATAGCCATAAATTACAAATGAGTTCAACCACCAATATATATATATATAATCCGTTTGTTCTGTTGCGGCGAGCATCTTGCAGACTCAGAATGACAGGCAACATCATGCCTGTGAGGTTGAAAGCCATGTAATCCACCATTCCCGTTTTCACGAATAACATCAGCTGCTTGATGTCGAGCAGAACATCGACATACCACGCGGCCTCGGTGGTCTATTAAGAAGGAAGAAAACTGTTGGGTTGCCCAGGCCAACTGCTGAAAACAGTGGCGAAAAACACCACCCTGACGGTTCTTTTTCTACCCCCCCCCACTGTTTTGCGTGCACAAGTATGATATTTCACAAGCGTGTCCGCGGCGGACAGGGCTACTTGCAGGGAAAAACAACATCCTGGTTTTGACACTATGATACTGCAGTGACATAGAAGACTTAACGGGACCGTGGGCAAAGATCAGAACAGTTCACTACCATAATCCTGTCGAAAGAGAAACAAGAAAATGCAAAGCGTTCAATCATCAAAGGGAAAGGACATCGTCCGTGAATTCTCTCCATCTTGAACATATATATGTCTATGATGTGTTCTCGTTTAACAATCCTCGAGGTTCTTGGGCTTGACTTTGGTATACGGTATACTGTAACATGTAATCAAATAATGTGCACTTCCCGGTTGCAAAACAGCATGGGTCAATTTATATAGGTGTTTTCCCTTAGGTGTCCGACGTTTCTTCACGGAGGGATCTTGATGAAGACTCAAACATTTTTCTGCCGCCGCAGCCGCAGAAAAGAAATGGACGGCCGCGCGTCGCTGGCTTTGTCCAAGACCTTTGTCAGTTTAATACAAACATAATTATTGTAGACTCTTGATTTGATTAATAACCACCCCCATTTGAATTGAAACACCTCTGAATACATATATATATATATATAGTATATATCCCCTCCAAGTCAATGATCTCGTTAAACCTGTCCATCTCAAAATGAAGACATTGAACACTATTTACTTTACGTTGAACACTATTTACTTTACGTTGAACACTATTTACTTTACCCCATTAAAACCTGAATTGTGTTCATTGTCTCCTGAGAGGTGGATTTCGTTAAATATCCTGCTCCTTTTTGGTGGGTATTCTGGATGGCAAGCGGCCAGCTAGGAACCATTAAGGGTTGCTTCTGGATGGCTAGCGGTAAGTCAAGAATCGCAGTAGGACATTTTGGGCGTTTCTGAGCAATCCAGGGTTTGTGGATGGCAAGTGGCTAGGCCAAGAACCACATGCATGAGCCGATCTTGATGTGGCCATTCGGCTAGATGAGACCATTGCAAGGCAACAGTGTTTCTGCACGATCATCCCTTACTTCGACTCCGCTGGGGCGGAGGTCACGTCTGGTTTCGAAGCCATGCCGGATTCGAAGGAAGCCACGGGAGAACCATCGTCCAGGTGCTGAAGGCGAGGCCATTTGAACTGAGACATGATGTTGGAGCTGCAAAGGGGAACCACGACCACTGCCTAGATCTTTGGAGTTGGACTTGTGTGCTCACATGGAGAACACCCACCTGAGCCTGGCTAGGAATTCTATGAGCAACGGCTGGTGGATGAGGGCAGGGAGATCTGCATGGAGGATCTGGCCAAGAAGATGGGAATGCCAGCAACTTGACATGGGATATGGGTAGTGCCTAGAGTCCAAATGGTGACTTTAAGTGGAATTGGCCATACAAGGACCAGATACTTCGGATGAGATCATAGCGGAAACTGTACAGAGATCAGCCTAGGAGAAGAAGTATCAGAAGCTGATGAAGACGGGTATGGCATCCTGACAGCACACTTGGAGCATCTCTGGATGTTAGTCAGCAGCCAAAGGGTGGTTGCATTGCAACTTTTGCCCTTGAGCCACCTCGATTAAATTCCCTGGAAAACAGCTCCATCCTAGATATCTTATGGACAAGTTTTACGAGGTCATTGACTTGGAGGTAGTTCTACAGATTTCTTAGACCGCAAAACCATGAACGCACCATGTCCGAGGAGAATGGATGTTGGGCACGAAACACCCCTTGGACCTTCCAGGTCAAGATGCATTTGCAATCACTAGTCCCGTGGAGTGTGGATCTTTCACTCTTCAAGGGGTATTTCCAGCTGCCCTCATCCATCCACCTATCCGAATCGATCGACGTCGGCGCCAAGCAGCGACCCCTGGTTTTGACCCAGCCAAGTGGGTTGTCCTGACCAAACAGGGTGCCCCTTCAAACAGGAAACATGTTTTGACCTTGATCTTTTGGGTCTTCCCCCCTAGGTCTTCTGAGTTGTTCAGGGCACCCTGTCCTAGCTCTACTGCGCTTCTTGGCTTAGCTTCTTGCCATCCCACCAGCCACCCTTTCGCAAGTAGTACACCAGCCTTGAGCTGCAACGTGACTTGTGTTCCATCACTGGAAAGAAGACGTGGCTCCAGATTCTGCTCACACGCCACCGTCTCTGCAGAAGTTCTGGTCTTCTGGTGCTCCAGTCTCCGACAGAGCGACATGTCCGACAGAGTGACACTTAGTTAATATACCCATGGTTGCAGTGCACGTGGTGTCCTTTTGGAAAGAATAGATGGGTCGGTTTGGTGCCATTGACCTATTAAACACCAACTAGGCCTCCTCTCTATGTAAAAGGCTATGGGTTATACCACATGATTACTTTTACTGGCGTAAGCCCAGGTTGAGATATCCCACAAAAAAATGGATCGACCGATCTCCTGCCACATCCCACAGCTGTCTCCTATCCTGCTTCTCACTTTCGCTCGCGGCCTTTCCTGCTGAGGCTGCGCTTGTGGACGTGGCCACTCGCTGGAAGCTGTGCAACCCTGGTGAGGATTTGGAGGACTGGTTGGCGTTGAAGATCCAAACAAGCCTGCAAGACCAAGCCCTCCCAAATAAAACTGTATGATTTTCTCCAAGTGCCAAAAACACAGAGGCAAACATGCATGTGCAATGTAGTATCTTGGATTGGATCTTGACTCCTCCCCCACAATTCTCACCCACCATCATGTTGGCAGCCTTCGTGACTATCCAGGAAAAGGAAGGTGCCTTCCACCGACACTTGGCCACATGTGTGGGGAGAATGTGTGCAGTAGTTGGAGCAGTGGGTGTTTGGGTGGTCTTGGAGGACCTGAGTGTGGACCCTGATTGAGGTGACCCCAACCCAGGTGGTTGCCAAGTAGCCCCATGATCCAATCAAATGAGTTCTGCTCAACTGGATCCACCACATTCCCTGGTGTTTACAGCAGACCAATTCAGACCCTCCTGCAACTCCCACAATTGTTTTAATACCATCCTCACTTCATGCGTGAAGATCTTCCTATCTCCGCAAAACCCATTGTCCGGACCGTCCTGGATTGGCCCTGGTTGACCCATCTTCCAGACCACCAGACCCTTCACACACCTGACCCTTCTGGACCCTGACCCCTTTGAAAAGGTCTAGGAGTCTAAAATGGAACCTGCTGGCAGGGCCAGTGGCCTGTTTTGGCGTCATTGCAATTAGGGAGCACTGCATTCGCGTGAGTGGAAGGCCGGCTTGGGTATGACCTCTGACAGATCGTTGGTGACAACCTCTGACATCTGATTTGAGTGAATTTTTAGAATCCTTCATGACATAGGACTCTGTGACATGTAGGGCATTGGAGGTATTGTTCACAGCTCCTTTGTCATTTCACCCTAGGCGCATCGACAAATCAGATCCTTGCGGTTCTTGGCTTAGCCGGTTGCCATCCAAAAGTGACCCTTTGGTTCCTAGCTCAAATCCTACTGCGGTTCTTGGCTTAGCCACTTGCCATTCAGATCGAAACCCTTTGGTTCCTAGCTGAAATCCTACTGCGGTTCTTTGCTTAGCCGCTAGCCGCTAGCCATCCAGATCGACACCCAATATCGCTCAGAGAGGCGCCAGCTACAAGTCCAAAGACCCAGTAAAACCAGCTCGTTTGCTTTTTGGAATGTATGAGCAACTCCAGTATACCAGATTACTGTGTATAGAATGAGCTGGCTGCTTGCGCTTTGGAGAAGGTATGTTGTGATCCTGGGTGGCGCTGGTGCTGGCACTGCTGCTGGCGTTGTCAGCTGGCAACGCACACGGTCAATCCTTTGGAGGTGCCGTAAGCTGGCTGCCAAGGCTGCGTGTACATTGTACATTCTTGTTCCAGCCAGCCACATGTGAGCAAGTTGTGGGATTGTGCCTAGCTATCTGGGTCTACGCTGGTGTAATTTCGTGTGTGATCACAAACACCTGAGCCGATACCAGTTGCTGCTAGTGTGAAACCTTTATCCACCACTCTTCACACTTTTCTCGGTCGTCACTGAGGAGATCCCTGAGGACCCCACGATCATTGGCGATGGTGAGACGCCAGGTGGCAGCTGGACGCATTGGTTTTTGGGGTGGACCGTATACAGCTTTGGGGTTATCGGCTTTGAGGTGGACCTTATCACAGGGTTTTGCGCACAAACTAACCCCTCTTTACTAAAGTGTTCTTCGCATGTTTTGACGTAGCTTACATATTTTCCTTGATGAAGCGGTTTAGCATCTCAACTGGATATGCTAGCATGTGGACACATCACCAATGCCCTCATTCTACTGGAGTTGGTCACATGTACTGGGTCTTTGGACCATTCCCACATTCACCACTCATGCCAAGTGGGGAGTGCCTTGCGGCCAAAACTGCGGCCAAGGACCAGTTTGGGTCTGGTCTTGGACAATTGGATCACACTTTTCAATGACTGCCCCACAATGGATGCTCAGGGAGCATGATGGCGATGATGGGTAGGGTATCCCATGATGTTGGATAGTGATCGCGATTTCCCCTTATAACTTTTTGTATATCCTCTGAATCAGAACACACACCAAAACCCAGTAGCAACCATGCAACATGGTGTTCAGGTATATCTTGTTGCGCATGGCCAAGTTCTGCAGGACATGACCCCTTGGATTCCTTTGCCGGGAGACATCCCCAAAGAGTTGGCTCTACGGGCTGAAGAGATCTGTCAGCACTATGGTGTTCACAGATCAAACTCTGATGGTCTGATCAAGGTGCGCTTTTGCATCTGCATGCGCATGTGTAAAACTATGTATACGTATACGTATAGCTTCGGGCAGGCGCAAGCAAAGCTACGAGATGCTGCTCGTGAATGTGTCAAAGGAAACATCTAAGATTCCAAGACTTTAGGCCAGAAAAAGAACGAAA